GAATAAAGATATTTTTTTATTTTTAATCAGCACATTTTTATTACATTATTGCTTATTATTAATAAAGCATTACTCAATTGTAAGAGAAACCTTGCTATATAGATTTGCATGTTTATTTGTTTCCACATACCTACAATATATGTGCACGTATTTAATTTTACGCACGCATGGCTGTTGGAACAATCGATAGATTTCACTATTCATTGAATGCCAAATGGTAAACAAGTCGTTTGTTGGGAAAAAAGTGGGCTAGCTCGATTGTTGCGTCTGACTCTTCAACTCTACTTTTTTATTCATGCATACTAATAGCTTTTACATCTCAATACCCGGGCGCGCCGCGTTGATTTTTTTTATCATGCTTTTTTTGTAACAAAAATTATGCCGAAGTAAATATGAAAAGAATACATTTTCATTGATAAAATCTATCTCCTTTTTTTTTTATTCGTGTCTATGGACAATACGTTTTATGGTCTCATAAGACTCGGCTACTATTTGTAAGCAAATCGCACCGTCAAATGAAAAGAAACAGAGAGAGAGAGAGAGAGAGAGAGAGAGAGAGAGAGAGAGAGAGAGAGAGAGAGAGAGGATTAGAGGCAAACGAGAAGAGAGACGGACAAAAATTATATGCATAATAATATGCAACGTTGCGACGTGAAGAAACTTCGTTACGCCGTAACGTCTGCGTAACGCATAAGAACATTATCGCATCGCATTGCCTCGAGCTTGAGCCGTGACTTGCAAAAAAAAGGGAAAAAAAAGGGGGGAAAAAAAGGAAAGAGAGGTGCATGACGGACGACAAAGTTTCGAAGGATTTTTTTCACATATACCTAAACACATAATCACACTGTGTTAGTAGATTTTCCTTTTTTTTTCTTCATTTACACAAGCGATTAATCGTAATTAAGTTCTTGTGTCGTTCCCGTAATAGGATAGTCTTGAGAACAGGACGACAGAGGCAACAGCTCGTTACAGAATCAACGAGTCATGTAATTCGTCGGCTTGAACCACGCTCGTGTAATTGCCACTTCCAACGTCCGTTTTTCTCTCTACCGTTCCAAGATCATAACGCTCGCGGATCATTCGTTTGGATTTTCGCGGAGAAAAATCGACTGCTGTGGTTATGATGTAAAAATACAAGGACTGCGATCAGCAGACTCAACAGTTGATATCCGTTTCTACCAATGTAATTTAATTTTAATCTCGGTCCAGTTAACTTTTCATCTTTTCTGAGAATTAGAAATGATGAGGAATAAATTAAATTGAGATCAGTTAATCTTGGTAGAATATTGATAGAAACGGGCATGAGTGAACGCTCGTTGTTATTGGTGTATTCTTTTAGACTTTTAAATCTAGAAGAACGCGCTCACTTAGGCCCGCAGTTTCACAATTCGCAATTACATTAACTTTTTAACTGAGGTTCATCTTACTCCTCATTTCAATTCTAGAATTCTAAAGTTCTAAGGAGTAATTACATATTATGAAACTGGGCTTCAATTGTTAAATTCTACTGAACGTAGTCAAAGATGTTTCATTTCCAAGATGTGCAGTCGATGACCAATTAAAAAATTAGCCCAAAATGTTACAAGTCAATATAGAGCCGTTATTAAAAATTTATCACCAATGAAGAAATCTACCCTAAAATTACATTCGGTTACCATTATGAACAATGAAACACCTTGTATTCTTACGTCATAGTTGTGATGATACCTCATGCAACAAACACTGGATGCCGTATCATGGCGGGTCTCGATTATATGCAGCTGTAATGAATTATCGTGCGCATATTTCTTGCGAAAGGCAACGTTGTGACATACCACCGGTAAAAGCCATAGGGGGTTTGCGGAATTGAACCCATACAATCTCGCATAGTCGCGGGAGAAAGGATTTAATCATTGTGGATATACATGATGATAGCGTACGTTCCTGTCTAACGCGGTATTAACGTCAATCAGAGTGTACCCGCTCGATTTTTGTGAGCAGGCCTTTACTATATGGCATACACATGCACGCGGAATGAGTCATATGGCTCTTTATGTATCCATTTATCTGATATAATCTTCATAATATATTTACAAGTGATAATTGTCGAGTGTTTCGTTCTATAGGTTCAAACGGCGAGCGTTATAAACGCCTTGAAAGCAGATAATCATCTAATGGTAATAACTGTCTCGGTGACAGAAGTTGATATAGGCGTTATTAATGATTGTAAATTAATTTACTGTACGAACACCGGCAATTTGCGGGGAAGAACCGTTGTTTGTTAGAAAAAACGTGCGTCACTGTCATATCGCGACATTTAAATAAAAATAGCTCGCGTGCAAGGAGAAACGATGCAACGAATCGACATTTGCGATCTCGCGAGTTACATTTTTAAGGTGAAACGTCTCGTTCAACGGGAGGGAGGGGGTTGTGTGTATACAGGAGCCTTGTTAATCTTAATCTGACAAAACATCGCGTCGTTTGAGCACAATGTGCGACTATCTCTAAGAATAATGCGCGTCAGCTGATTCAGTTCAGCTGTATGAATGAACGAGCGGCTTGCCAACTGTGATAGCTCTCATCAATCATGTCTTGGCGCATCTTTACTCGAAAAGAAAGAGAGGAGGAAAAAGTGAAAAAGTAAGAGAGAGAGAGAGAGAGAGAGAGAGAGAGAGAGAGAGAGGGAAAAATATATATACTGATTACGTTCAGTCAAAAAGCAACGTTGCAACTATTATTAGATTTCTTGATATGATTAGTTTATACTTTTAGATGGTTTATGCTTTAGAACGAGAAATCAACCGAAACACGATAGGTGCAATAAAGTCTTAAGCCTTAAGAAATTGACTATTAATCATGATCGTAGAGAAGAATAATTGACTGTGATTGATCAATTTCTTAAGACTTGAAGCTTACTACAGTATTGTGTTTGAGAATTGAGGACAAGACCAATCATATTTCAACGCTGCTTTTTCTACTGAACGCAATCACTGTCTCGCTTTCTCGAGGAATGATTGAGAGAAACCTCAGACAAACACGCGACAAACAAACATTGAATCTGGCCGTGCTCTTTTCGCGAGCGCTACACCTTCCGCGAGACAGTCGGCCGAGTGCCGACAGTGCCGACCTGTCGACCAGTCGCGGAGGTTTTATTCAATTAATTCTCGCGTTGCCGAGGAGCACGCGATCCGACCGCGACGAACACGTCCTAGGGGGTTTCGACTCGCAGTTGGCACACGTGCGCAGGTGGAGTGCGGTTTTTGCTGGGCGGCGGTGGTGGTGATGGTAATGGTGGTGATGGTGGAGGTGGTGGTGGTAGTAGCAGCAGCCGCGGCGGCGATGGCAGCGGCGGTGGTTTTTTGCACCAACCGCGAGGTCTCTAGTGGCTTTTTCCCTTCTTTTCTTTGGTACCCACCCGTGGTAGATGAGAGGGGGCACAAGAGAGAGAGAGAGAGAGAGGGGGAGGAGAGAAGCAAGAGAAAGAGCGCGATAAGCGCGATGGGCTTGCGACGAAGGGAGAGAGCGTAACGCCGTCGTTGCGAAAAAAAGAAGGAGAGACAGGAGCAAAAGGAAGAGGAGAGAGAGAGAGAGAGAGAGAGAGAGAAGGAATCGGATCGCGGTTCACTCCTTCCAGCTGGCCTGGCACGACGAAGGAGGCCTTGTCGCGCGGCTGCTCGTTCGGTCAATGTCTTCTCTTTCTTCCTCGCTCTCTCCCTTCTCTCTTCTCTCTTTCTCTCTCACGCTCCGTCCCTTCTCCCGTTCTCCCCCTCTGGTTCTCTTTCTCTCACTTCCTCTTGTTTCCCGCTCTCTTTCATCGTTTCCCCCCACTCGGCAGCGCTCCCGTGCTGCATCGCGCACACGAGACACGGATGCCTGCGAAATCCCTCTGTCATCTTGCGAACGCCCGTCCGCGGCCAGGATTATCCCGCGCCGTGCGCGATCGCGAAAAATCAGTTCGTCGCGCCCGCAACGCATCGTTGTCGTCATCGTCATTGTCGTTGTCGTCGTTATTCTCGGCGGGGAGTCGCGCGACGTGAATCCCTTCGGCACGGATCACCGGTATATAACATTGTTCGGCCGGAGAATGAAAGAGAACGCGGTGCGTTCGGAAATGTGCACTCGTATCGCGGTTTGAAGGCGCTCCGTTCCGAGGGCAAGAAGGAAGGCGTTCTCGTTCGGGCTTTTTCCGCCCGGCGGCCGCGCGCAACAGCGTGAAAGTACCGCGATCGTTCGCCGCGGACTCCGGCGCTCTCTCGACTGCACGTCGTCGATGACGTTCCCGATGCCGTCGTCGTCGCCGTCGCCGTCGCGCATCTCGTAGTCAGGCCGTTTTCTCACGGCCAGGGCCTCGCTCGCGGTGTTTACAACAGTGTGTATTACGTGTCGGGTGCGTGCGCGACAGTGCGGAATCTCGATCGTCGTGACTCCGGGGGGAGGAGAGGGGGGGGCATGGCTCTCGGCGACGTCGTTGTCGTCGCCGCCGCCGCCGCCACCGCCGCACGTTAGGAGCAAGCGTCGCGCGGGCGCGAAGAATAAAACTCCGACACGGGGATACTAGCGGCTGCGGGTGCTCCGATTACGACGACACTTCGCGCTTTTCGTGAACACAGGTGGGCGCATCTTTCGCATATCCGCCAATTGATTTTCAACGTGATTTAACGCTGTCAGATTGATAAATATGATGCTGATTTCGATAAAAAAAAAGTGAAGGCAACGTCTGTTCAACAATTCTGGTTATCCTTGATATTTTATGAGACAAGATAATGCAATAATGAAAATGAGAATTCTAAATATGAAATTATAATATATAATGACGTATATTTTTATAAACGTGCTATTTATATGCCATCATAGTGTCAGCAATGTAACAATAAAATTAAATACAATACAAATTTGAGATAGAGAATATATTCGTTTATATAAAATATATAAAATATGCTGTGATTACTGTGTGTACACATACATATATTTTTATGTATGCAAGATATTTTTATTTCATATATCCTTTTCTCTGTTTTCAGAGTGCAATAACGTTAGCTGGTAAAAATAATGTCAAGAAAATACATTCATTGCTATCAATAGTGGATGAAAAACCAAAGCTGGATACCGGACAGAATAACAGGCACAACGAGCACCACATCAAAAACAATTTCAAGCACAACCATTATACACATAATTCCATACTGACACCCTCGACACTAAACCAGGTAATTGAATAATCTTAGTTAAATCGCGTCTGCTGACATATACCAATTAGAGATGATACAGTGACAGTGGCGTTGATAATTTCTCTTGCAGGGCCTAGATGCAGGTACAAGCGACGATAGTGGCAGAGCGTCTGAACAGTTGCACGGCCCTGGTATACCTAGGGATTGCCAGGACGCAGACAGTTCTAGGGACCATCTCAGCGATGTGAGTTCCATACTTTACTTGTAACTTAGTACATTCAATACTGACAATTTCATAACTTGAAATTTATAATAAATTATTTTTCAAATTTTAAATATGACATTAATATTTTTGCCTATTAACATATTATTATATTTCTTCTCACTTTCCGACTAACTAACTTCTGTGTAATTAAGATAAAAATATATTTACCATATATACATCAATATTAATTTCTTTACGAAATAAGTAATGAAAATGATTTTTAATGCTTTTATTCATGAGTTCATGTTTGCAATACAGGCTAGCAGTCATTGCAGTTCGGGTAAAGGTTATATCGTAAGTATCTATATTTTATAATCATATACATACAGAAAATCCTAAATTATATTCAACACAATAACTGGTTCAAATAATTTAAAATCAACATAAAACTACGAATCAAGCTAGATGTTTAAAGCTAAGATTTCTATAAATAAATCATAATTTCAAAACAATTTCTAAACAGATGTTTCAACACCAATCGGGTTATTCTCAGTGTTAACAAACAGAATTTAAAGATACCACAAATAATAAAAATTGCATTATAATTCTCGCTCTTGTATCAGAAATTAATCTATATTTGTCATTTCCTGCAATTAATGGAGGTATTATCCAAATAAATCTATGGTGATTATTATTTAAAATTGATGGAGGTGATATCCGTTAGAAAATATTAAATATCTAATATGATTTGTAACCTTATATTTTGAGTTTTAATTATAAATTATATTTCTACATTATCGTAATAAATATGATATATTAATTTATTATTTCTTCATTTCAGTGTGATAGTGAAGGAGAAGACGATAAGGTATGCACATTTTCTATAGATATTCTACTAGCTTGAAGAAAATAATCGATCAACTTCAATAATTGTTTTTATGTTACAGGGCTCGGATGCCGAATCTATACTCTTTGAATCTTCTACTTCACCACCTCTCACACGTAAATGTAAGTAATACCTTCAGAAATGGGAAATGTACATATTTATATAGATAATCATCTTTTGAAAGTATAAATTATAACATTATTACCATTCTGTGCATACATTTCTTTCCTTTTCGTTTCTAGACGAATTGCCATCTTCTTCGCCACACATTTTACCACCCACAAACGGGGCAGGTGGATCTCCACCGGACACGGGTGGTCAAACTTCTAATCCAGCAACGAATGCTCCGGCACCTATACCACCTCCTGTGCCTGCGTCTGCACCAGTTCCAACAGCGCCGAGTCCTCCTAGCCCCACGTTGCCTCCACACATATCCCAGCCTTCTGTAAGTTATTGCGTTATATAAACTTAATCTTCTTTCATCTCTTGGAGAATGGGATAACATTTGTTGTTGATATTATATTCCAGATGACTAGTCCTTTGGCAGCGAACCCACGTGCAATAGCTCCGCAACAGCGGCCAGCTTCCCCCGCTCTGCCTCCACCCTCCCTATCTCAGCAACCGCACACTACGATACCTGCATTACATCCACCTATTGGGTCCCTCGTCTCGAGTCACACAACTAGTCCAGCGGTAGCCAGTTTAGGTGTTACGCCAGCAGCACCATCGAACGGAGCGGCCACTACAAGTTATCCACCTCCTATTCCTATAGCCGCGTATCCACAGACACAACCATCGTATCCACCGCTCTACACCCCGTATACCGCTCTAAATCACAGCCCGTATCTTCCGCCTGCGGTACCATCCCCTTCTCATTCTGCTTCATCGCGCGCTGACGTGGTAAGTTACTCGCATTGTATCGTACATTGCTGACGTATTCAATTATATCACTGATATTACTTATCTCAAATACAAAATATGAGTGTTCATAACGACGGTAATAATTATATTTTAGAGAGGGAGTAGAGCTTCTCCCTGTACCAACATAAGTAAACAGACTATAGGAAATAACCTCGTGAGTCACAATAATACTCCACTGAGTGCTGCCACCACAACATGCGTATCCACTATAACTAATACAGTTACCACGGCAAATACTATCGCTCATAGAGACATGGTGGCCTGCAGTCTATCCGGACGAAATAATAACTCTCCACGTGGACATAGCCCCAGTCGAGAAAGGGATAGTTACAGGTAAAATATTTTCTTCTGGTTGCAGCGTTACGAGATCTGTTCACGTTACTTGAAATTCTGAAAAAATTTTGCATTTAAAACGAGATAAATATATTCGAGCAATAAAGAGAGAGAAAACGCAGATTTGGATTGTAAAAAGTGCAAGCAACGCGAACAAACTGTCGCGTTTGTCAAATTTGAGTAATTTAAATTACAATTAACAGAAAATTTTAATAGTAATTATATATTTGTTACAGCAGTAACGTGAGTAGTCTAAGTCGGGGCAGCATAACGCCTGTTAGTGTGCCAAACACCTCCTCGCCAGCCAATTCTAGTCTACCTACATATACCAAGCCACAAAGTTGGATTAGGTAAGCCCGAACAAGTTTAAACTTTTCAATAAAACTTTCAATAAAAATAAAACAAAAAATAGTATAAAAAATCTTTTATCTAAAAAACAGCAGCAACACAGCTCCCCAGTTGTCTCCAGCAACAGCTACATCTGTTCCGAGGCCAACTCCACCACCGGTACCACTCGGCATACCACATACATTTCCACCACCGATGTTCGCAACGCCTTTACCGCCGCCAGTGTCTAGCTCAAGCCCCCATACTTCACTGCCCTCGCTTCCCCCACCGACGACCAATCCCAATCCGTTTTCTGCAGAGTCTCTGTTCCAAACAAGTAAGCTTACAATCTAACTTTTTTATATATTATATTTTATGTGAATATGAGCAGATAATAAATGCACTAATCAAAAGAAGGGGTGACACATGTTGCAGGTCAGGCTGATCTTCTGAGGAGAGAACTTGATAATAGGTTCTTAGCGTCTCAAGACAGAAATGTTGGTGTTGGAGTGGGGAATTTGGGTCCAGCGTATCTTCGAACGGAAATGCATCATCATCAACATCAACACACGCATGTACATCAGCACACAACACCGTTGCTGCCAACAGCTACAACATCTACACTTTTTCCACCTCCAATTGTAAGTAAAAAATATATCTATTAGCCAATGAGACATACATTTATTATATCTATCATAACTAATTATATCTGATCGTAATACTTATCGTAAACTCGTCCATATACATAAACTGATATTAAACAAAACTATCTTTTAATAGTTTAAGGATATCCCAAAATTGGGAGGAGTTGAATCGCCATTTTTTCGTGGAAACTTAAACCTTTCTGGTTATTCCGGTTTTAACACTGGCCTTCTTCATCCCGGAATTGGACCGCCTTCGACACCTTTTGTGCCCCCTAATCACTTGACTCCGTTTGCGCCAAAGGTATTTTTATATAAAAAATTAAAAATGTTTTCTCATGTTGTACATATTTATTTAAACATTTAATTTTTTAATCCAGAAAAGTGGAAAGTGGAATGCGATGCACGTGCGTATTGCGTGGGAGATATATAATCATCAACAAAAACAACAGGCTGAAGCTAAAGCGGGAAGTGTCGTTAGTACCAAAACTGAGTTATTAAGACCACCGAGCCATCTTTATCCCGGGGGACCAGCCAGTGGTCTTGGACTCGGTGCACCATCAATGGCACCTCCGTTTTCCACTAATATACCATCTGCCCATCCTGCACCACCTCCACCACATCCTGTCGGTTTTCTTTCTACAACGGCCTCACATTTAGGTAATAGAGGTAACAAAGATTCACATTTATTCTCACGTGCGCATGTTCATGTTTGTAAATACATACATTGAACTGCAATATGATTATCAATATTTGCATCATTGTTATGATATTTTCTTATATTACAGGAGCAGGATTATCTCCCTTTGGAAGATATCCTTCAACATTCGGCGCGCCGAATCCTAACTTTCCAAACCTTTCAACTTTTCCACCAAGAGAAATGCCTCCTCTAGGTGGACTTGGTTCAGTACACGATCCATGGCGAGGGTATGTACATGAAATATTAAGCAACTATCAGGTCATTATCTTTTTTCTACTGTAAATGTATATTTTACTAATTTATGTGTCTAATTTCAGATTGCAACGCGCTACTACTGGATTTCCACAGACTACTGTTTCGTGGGGATTAAAACCAGAACCTCCTGCGATAGACAGACGCGCCGAGCTGGAAGAACGGGAGCGCGAACGTGAACGAGAAAGAGAACGCGAACGAGAACGTGAACGTGCCGAACGGGAACGCGAACGTATCAGACGCGAAAGAGAACGAGAAAGGGAGAGAGAGGAACAACGTGAGAGAGAAAGGCGGGAACGCGAAAAAGAGGAAAAGAGGAAACAGCAGGAAGCAGCCGAACGGGAGCGAGAAAGGCGAGATAAGGAGCGCCGCGAGATGGAAAGACGTGAGATGGAGCGTGAGAGATTGCTTCATCAGAATCGACAACATGTGGTTGCATCTCGAGATCGTTCGCCGCTCAGAAATGGTTCGGCGCCTTTGGATACTGGGGAAGTGCGCGTAAAGGAAGAACCACGCAGTAAAGACGACGAAGTTGTAATGCTTCCACGACCACCAGTACCCGGTCCCGGAACGACGGGACCCGCGCCAGGACCTGGACCAAATCCACTGCCCGATCCGAGATACCACCCGCATGCCTATCTTACGAGGCATCCACATGGTATGCCAGCTTCGCATTCTATGCCACGTAGCATGCTTCCCAGTTTAAGCGCACATCCGATGCAGCATTTTCCACCGCCAACTGCGCCTGCCGGTCAACCGGGAGCCCCTTGGCCGGGCGATCCTTTCCGAGAATATCGGTTCGATACGCTGCAACAGTTACGATATAATCCGTTAGTGGCAGCGTTCAGAGCTGAAGAAGAGGAACGAGCAAAACTGTATGCTGGCTATCCTCCACCGCCGGTGAATACACTCAGGAGTAAGGACCCTAGTCCAGGTCCGCTCAGCAACTTGCATATGCATCATAGAGCAGGACCTGGTCCAGGAGTACCGACACGTCCGCTCGAAAATACCCTTATGCACGCGGATATTCACAAGAAAGAAGATGGATCGCAATCCCGATGATACTTTATTTCGGCGTCCTCGATTTCTGCGAGCGAACGCACTGATGGTCCGACCTTTTGAGCACCCCATCCAGTTAACATTCACGGAGTTTGGTGCTGATATTTTGCTAACAGAAAAAAGCGTTATTTAAAAAAGAAAGTGTAAATAGATACTATATATTATATATATATA